TCCAGAGGCGGAGGGAGCGGGCCTCAAACGCTGTACTGCTGACGTGATTGCGCTGCCATTGTGCGGCGCCCTCCCCCCGCACCCGTCTCTCCCTCGCGCTGTTTTGCTCTCCAAATTCGAGAAGAAAAGGGCACGCGGGGGAGGAAATGACGCCGTCAGCGGGGCGGGGCGCGGCGGGGCGGGGCGGGGCGGGTAAGGCCGTGTTGATGGTGGCGGCGATGTGAGTGAGGAGTGCCACATCGGCTGCGGCTTTCTCGCGATGTATGGTGCGCGATTTCCTTTTATTTTTGTGCCCCCTCCATCCCTCTCCCTCTCTCCCTCTCCGCCAGCAGGTCACCAAGGGGGCGCCAGCGGCGCCAACCTTTAGACGCCACATCTGCTGGGTGGCGGGACGCTGCAGGGCGCGGTGTGCAGCAGGGGCGCGTGCGTTTTGGCAGCGTTTGGGTGTTGCTCCTTGAGGCCCTTGGCTGAGGCATCGTCCCGCCGCCGCCCCTCCTCGCGCCTGACGGATGCGATGTCGCCGTTGTCGTCTGCTCTGCTTTTATCGAATATTTTCCCTCCTCGCGTTTTGCCGCGCTCCGGGCGATAAGGGATTTGCAGGCGGCGTCACTGTCAGGGCGGTGACACACGGCGAGGGGCGGCTACACAGCAACGCGACGAACCGAGGAACATTGGTAACGGAAGATATCAAAAAATACTCGCCGCCGTTGCATATGTTTCGAAATCTTGAAACCGCACTTGAAACCTTAGCAGCGTATAAATGTTGTCTTTTACATGAAGGGGTGTGAAGTTACTTTGCGATTTCGCACACCCGTGCCCACGACTTTAGGAATGGGAATTCTCTTGCTTTCAAGTTTTATGCGATGTCATTCAACCGAGTCTATGGGAGGCCTCTGAAAATGTCACGGATACCAGTGTGCGCGCGGTACATACACTCTCGGCCCCCCGGGAGCGGTGCGCTCTCCAGCTGTGGAGCTCGTGGAGCGCCCTACCCCCCACCCCACTCTACCTCTTATCTCTCATCTCACTGCAGCGTGGAGGGCCGCCTCCTGCTACCCTGCCTCTCCCCGCCGCCCCGCGCGGCCCCTCCGTCAAATTGGAGTTGAATGGCTCTTGTCGCCATTCCTGCCGCTCCGTTACCATTGTATTCATTTTTATTTGGCGGTGGAGCAGTGGAGCAGCGGCGGCGGCGCCCTCTCCCCTCTATCCCGGCTATCATCGCGGCCCCGCCGGCGAAACCCTCCAAAGCAAAGCCGCCCTCCTGGTTGTCACCATGTGACTGCGCGGCGCGCTTAGTCAAGTGTTTCTTGTAGGATGTCATTATGTGCCCGGTCTGCCTCGCGGTGCGCGGGTGGGGCTGGTCTGGTCTGCTTGGCGAGCACTAGCGAGCGGGCGCGGGCAGGAGGGGGCGGCAGGCCCGGCGCGCTAGAACCGCACAGAATGTGTGATTAGTTGGTGCGGGCGCCGCCC